GAGGGGGGAAAGGGATTGGGGGGAAGAGAAGAGAAGTGGGGGGGAAGGGTATTGGGAGGAAGAGGGGTGTGGGGGAGAGGTGGGGGGGGGAGTGGGGGGGAGGGGTGTGGGTGGGGGCAGAAGGGTGGGGGGAGAAGGGTGGGGGGGGAAAGGAAGTGGGGGGGGGGGAGGGAGTGGGGGGGGGGAGTGGGGGGGGGGGGCTTCCTCGGCAAACCGAGGTGAAGTCAAACGCTCCAAAAATTGCCCCCCTTTAAAACATCCGAAACCCCCCTGGACACTTTCAACTCGTGACAATTCAAGTCCGGCACCGAGGCCACCCGCTGCACCGACGAGGCGTGCGGCGAAAACCGTCGGACATCGCCTCGCCGCCGAGACGGCCTCAAAGTGCACCTAGCCTGGCACAGGCGCCCCGGTGACGTCACCGCCACTTAGCGACTGCTGCCGCTGTTGTTTTGGTGGTGGTGTTTTCCTGTTGTTGTTGTTGCTGTTGTTGCTGACGCTCGATTTCACCTCTTCGTGCTGTCGGTGTGCGCTATTTTTTCGTTGTTGTTTGTCCAGCGAGAGTGATTGAATTCATCCTTGAGTGCCACACTCCGTCTTGCGCGGATCGATTCACCTCCCCCCCGCCCCCGCCCCCTGGGCCTCCATTGTAAATATCCAAATGCCTCGACACCCCCCCCCCTTCTCGAGCCCCCCAGGACTTTAAGCCTCACAAACTGCACCCCCCCCCAACTCCTTCTCTCTCTCTCCCTCGACTCGCGAACGCGACGCTTCTCTCCCGGCAGTCGTCCATCAACATGCAGCCGCTTTGATCTCATTTGATGTCGATGTGGTGGGTGGGGGGGGAGATACACACGGTAAGATGAGATGTTAACTACCTCGCCTGGTATACAAGAGGTCGTGGATTCAATCCTGATATTGCTGAATATTTGGAGTTTGCGTGCCTCTCTCTCATCATCATCACGGTGGCTAGGAGATGTTAACTACCTCGCCTGGTGTACAGGAGGTCGTGAATTCAATCCCGACATCTGCTGAATATTTGGAGTTTGCGTGCCTCTCTCTCATCATAATCACGGTGGCTAGGAGATGTTAACTACCTCGCCTGGTATGCGGGAGGTCGTGGGTTCGATCCCGACCCTGACGCCTGCTGCTGTATATTTGGAGTTTGCGTCTCTCTCTCTATCCATCATCACGGTTGCTAGGAGATGTTAACTACCTCGCTGGTATACAGGAGGTCGTGGATTCAATTCCGATATGCTGTATATTTGGAGTTTGCGTCTCTCTCTCTCCCCGTGGTCGCGTTGATTTTTCTCTGGGTCCTCCGGGTTTTCCCCTCCACATTTAGAATTAACATCGCGCGTTTCGAGGACTGTAAGTGGCTGCAATAAATTTCAACACGATGGTAAGCCCCTTGGTTGAGTTATCATATGTGATAACCAGGTCGCTTCTAAAAAAGAGCTGTATAGCTCAGTGGGCCTTACCTGGTAAAATACAAAAAATAGTTTAATTATAGTTTTGTTTAGATCCTTTTCGTATTTGGTGCACACAAATTAAGCCCTGGTCCTGGGTTTGACGCAGACTCGATCGTGCGAGGAGCTCTCAGATCCTTGAAAGTTCTGGTCACAGTCGACCCAATCAGCTCCTCCGGCAGCCGAGGCTGCATTGGCTGGGTTACGTAGCCTGCATGCCCAGCCCATGGCACGGGTGAGCGGGTGAGTGAGTGTGAATGGGTGGTGTGGGTTGGGTGAGTGAGTGGGTGGGTGAGTGAATAGGTGGGTGGGTGAGTGTGTGTGTGTGTATCACATGGTCCCATTAATGAGCCTCTCCGGCAGGCGAGGCTGCGTTGGCTGGGTCGTGTAGTCTGCATGTCCATCCACAACATGGGGACGAAGTGGGTGGGTGAGTGAGTGGGGTGTGCGTGTGACACAGCCGATTAATGATCTCTACCGGCAGGCGAGGCTGCGTTGGCTGGGTCACGTAGCCCGCATGCCCAGCCATGCCATGGGTGAGTGGCTTTAGGGTGTGGGTGAGTGAATGGGTGAGTGAATGATGATGTGGGTGGTTATCGGGTGTCTGTGTGTGTGACACGGTCCGATTAATGATCTCTACCAGCAGGCGAGGCTGCGTTGGGGGTCACGTAGCCCGCATGCCCAGCCATGCCAGGGTGAGTGGCTTTAGTGGGTGGGTGAGTGAATGGGTGATGTGAATGATGAGTGGGTGAGAGAGTGTTTGTGTGTGTGTGTGACACGGTCCCATTAATAATGATATTCTCCGACAGGCGAGGCGCATTGGCTGGCCCACGTAGCCCGTATGCCCAGGTCATGGCATGGGTGAGTGGGTGGGTGAGGGGGTGTATGTGTGTGCGTGTTGGACGGTTTATGTTTGGTACAGTAGGGGGCACAGGTGGTGCATCAGCCAGTCATCTCGGTCATCTCGGTCAGTCGACCCGTGGCACCTGGGTCTGCCCCGTGACCTCCTACCAGCGGGCGTTCGACACTTCACGTGGCCTCAAGGTGCACATGGCCTGGCACAAGCGTCGTGGTGACGTCACCGCCACTTAGTGGCGAATGGCGGTTGTTGTTGTTTGGACGGATATGAGTTGCTGTACTGAATGTTCACAGCTGAAGTTATGCGCTTGCCAGAAGGCAGTAAGGCCGGAATCGTTGCGTAAGTCAGTAAAAAAAAAACGACACTTTTATATTTTACTTGGAGAGACGCAGATGTATGGAGACATCGATTGCACATCTATCTCGCGTAACTAACCCTTGCTTCGCTTGTGTATTTTTTATTCATTATTTATTTTACCAGGTAAGGCCCGCTGAACGATATATATCACATTTTCAGAGCGACCTTGTTGTTACAAATGACAGCTCGGCGAAGTGGGCTCATCATTATCGCGTGGAAATGTTATTGCAGCTAAACACTTTTAAACGCACGCTGTTGATTCTAAATGTGGAAGGGAAAACTTTTGAACACTTCAGAGAATTTCCAACGACACCACCAGAAAAGGCGTCGCCCTCCGGCTCTGGAGACCACCTGGAGAAGATTCGAGGCACGCGTTGACAACGATTGCGAACAAAGTGGATACTAAATTTCAATTTAAAGCTTTCGTGACTGCAGGGATTCATCTTCTTAGTTCTTTCGGTAAAGTCACGTAGAAGGGAAATAATAAAATAATAAAAATAAAACATAATAAAATACAATTCTCACGACGTTTCGGCACAACGCAAGCAGCCGTCCTCGGGTGAAGAACAGGTCTGTCGGAAAGACAGCGCTGTTTTTCCGTATTTTATTATGTTTTATTTGTATTATTTTATTATTTCCCTTCTACGTGACTTTACCGAAAGAACCAAGAAGATGAAAGTGGAGACGCTTTGACTTCTTGAAGCTATTAACATACATTTGTTATCGTGTATTATCCGTTTTTTTTAAATTAAAAACGATAGACCCATGTAAGTGTTAACATTATTTTGAAGATTCTAGATTGAAGCTTTCGTGGACTGCAATGATTCATATTCTTAGGTTTTTTTCGGTAAAGTCACGTAGGTAAAAAAACACCAAAAAGTAAAATAAAATAAAAATCACGACGTTTCGGAGGCAACACAAGCTTCCGTCTTCAGGTGGTACCGTCACAGCCACGACAGCTGTATCAAGTAAATGAGAGATTGCAGAAGCCACCACTCCGTTTATATAATGGTTGGAGGAGGTGGTAGAGCAAGGGCCGCATACTTTTATTAATATGGTAAGGTGAGGCTTAAGACTAAGAATAGACTGCATAACAAAGGCTGAGCCTTTGTTATGGAGAGGTGCGGTTTGTGACTCAACCTGTAACAGGGAGACCACCACTAGGCATGGTAAAAACTGTGATGGTTGTCTGTCAAATAAGATTGGCAAACAAGTGTAGTTAAATCTTTTTTGCATGGTTAATCACATCTTTCCAATGATTACTCAGTTTGTAACCGTCATCACGGTTGAAATTATGTCTGTGTTTGTATATTTGTATGGCTTCGGTACAAAACATTTGATGGGAGCCAGGAGGTTTGCAGAGAACCTTGGTCTCGGAAAATACAATTTCATGAGAGCCCACCGAGTTGTAGCAATGATCGGCAACGGCCGAAGAATCAGTTCTGCCGTGTTTCAGATCTGACTTGTGCTCGCGGACACGATCAGAAACATGACGTTTCGTTTCTCCAATGTAGCAATCACCACAAATGCAACTCAATTTGTAGACTCCAGGATACTGTAAGTCAGGAACGACATCCTTCACAGATGGAATCAAATCACGGATTTTATGCACTGTACTGAATCGGACTTGGATCTTATGTTTGTTTAGAATTTTGGAGATCTTTTTAGTCACGCCTGCTATGTATGGCAACGTGATAGTTTTGGTCGGAGTTTCATGTGGCTGTTTCTGTATGGTGGGAGAAACAGCTTGGCGGATAGTGCGATCAGAGTATCCGTTCATCCTGAGGGCCCGATGTACATGTCTTAATTCACCGGCCAGGTGGTGTTGGTCAGAAAGCATCCTGTACAGCAGGTGTCAGCCAATGGTCCCGATCGAACCCACGAACCTCCTGCATAGCCGGCGAGGTAGTTGTAATTTCGTACAGATTCATAGCAGCAGATTAAAGATATCGCTTAAGATGTATCATCCATTCTAGATTTGAAGCTTTCCTGATTGCAAGGATTCATACTCTTAGGGTTTTTTCGGTAAAGTCACGTAGGGAAATACATAAATAAATGATAAAAGTACATTAGTTACTGTTAGAAATTATAATATAAATAAAATAAGAAATCCATTATTTCTACCATTTAGTTATTTATTTTTATAATTTATTTGTATTTTTTTTTATTTTTATGTTTTTTTATTTTTACCCACGTGATTTTCCCGAAGAAAACCTAAAGAGTATTTATCATCCGCTCAATTGTCTGTCCGGACGCAGTGTGGCTGCCCGCTCCGTTGCCTCACCGCAGCTGACGGGAGGCACGTGGGGCGAGTGGGACAGCAGAGCGGTGAGCGTGACGCACCACCACGACCACCACCCCGACCACCGCAGGCAGCAGTAGGAGGAGCGCCGCTGCATCCTTCTCCGACCGTCGGTTTTCTTTTCCGCGGCCGCGACGCCTCCTCTGCCGGAGGAGAGCCGCACAGAGAGCATCACGGCGGAGGCGGCGGCGGTGGTGGTTTTGGTCATCGTTAAGATGGAGTGATGGCTCGTGACATCTGATGCGGTATCTATGAATGCAGACTTGACGATGCCTTGAAAAAATGCATTTTTAACACATTCTGTTTTATTGTAACAATAACAATAGGTTCAAACACAAAACAGAATCCTTTTGCAAGGAGTCATGTCGCCTGTGTTAACCACACGTACTCGTGGTGAACATGCAAACAAAAACACGCTCCGATCAATTTCGACTTAAAACTTTCGTGACTGCAGGAATTCATATTCGTTGGTTCTTTCGGTAAAGTCACGTAGATAGAAAAAAAAATTAACTCGTAAAAGCAAAGTTTTTCACTATAAATCCTTTATATGCGTGGCGTCGGTTTTATTTTATTATTCATTTCTGTTTTTCTTGAGTAAGAGTTTCATTTTTATCACATTGGTATTTTAAATTAAATATGCATTTTTTTTCCTAAAAAGTGGAAAATTTTGAAAAAAATTTTCCACGAAAATAAATTGTCACGCACAACGAGTCTGTGTGCAAAATGTCAGCTCGATTGGATCACGGGAAGTGGGTTAAAAAACGACCGAAATATTTGCACGGTCGTAAGCGCGCAAGCAAGCAAGTGAACTTAATATAAAGGATTAATAATAATAAAAAAGAAAGTGAATACAAATTAAAGAATAATATAAATAAAATGAAAACAAAAACCACGACGTTTCGATCGCAACGCAAGTAGTCATCATCAGGAAAAAGGGGTGGGGGGTTAGCCTCTAAAGGCAAACTGTTTATAAAGGTTTAGAGATGGGCGTAGCCCACGTGTGTCAGAATCATGGGTGGGGCAGCTGATGTTAATGTCGCCCACGTGTGTCAGCAGCATGGGAGGGGCAGCTGATGTTGATGTAGCCCAAGTGTGTCAGCATCATGAGCGGGGCAGCTGATGTTAATGTGGCCCACGTGTGTCAGCAGCATGGGAGGGGCAGCTGATGTTAATGTGGCCCACGTGTGTCAGCAGCATGGGCGGGGCAGCTGATGTTAATGTGGCCCACGTGTGTCAGAATCATGGGCGGGGCAGCTGATGTTAATGTGGCCCACGTGTGTCAGCAGCATGGGTGGGGCAGCTGATGTTAATGTGGCCCACGTGTGTCAGCAGCATGGGTGGGGCAGCTGATGTTAATGTCGCCCAAGTGTTCATAATCAACGTTTTTGGGTTTAGATCGCGTTATTTTTAAATGTGTCGTATCCCTCCACCACCCGACACGGCCAATCAGTAAAAAAGTGTCACGCCATTCTGGCAAATTGCCCGATGATGCTGGATGCAATTACCAGCGAAACGTCGTACTACTCAAAAAATGTAAACGTTGTGGTTTCACGCTTCAACACACCGGTGGGCTAAAGCAGTGAACTATTTGTCTTTTGTCAACGTGACACTTTTTTGCTGATTGGCCGTGTCGGGTGGTGGAGGGTTACGACACATTTATAAACAACGCGATCTAAATCCCAAAAACGTTGATTATGAATAATATTGGTTGCGAAGCCTCACACGTGTTAAATCGCCCACGTGTGTCAACAGCATGAGCGGGGCAGCTGATGTTAATGTAGCCCACGTGTGTCAGCGGCATGGGCAGGGCAGCTGATGTTAATGTAGCCCAAGTGTGTCAGCAGCATGGGCAGGGCAGCTGATGTTAATGTTGCCCATGTGTGTCAGCAGCATGGGCAGGGGCAGCTGATGTTAATGTAGCCCAAGTGTGTCAGCAGCATGGGCGGGGCAGCTGATGTTAATGTAGCCCACGTGTGTCAGCAGCATGGGCAGGGGCAGCTGATGTTAATGTAGCCCAAGTGTGTCAGCAGCATGGGCAGGGGCAGCTGATGTTAATGTAGCCCACGTGTGTCAGCAGCATGGGAGGGGCAGCTGATGTTAATGTAGCCCAAGTGTGTCAGCAGCGTGGGAGGGGCAGCTGATGTTAATGTAGCCCACGTGTGTCAGCAGCATGGGCAGGGGCAGCTGATGTTAATGTAGCCCCACGTGTGTCAGCAGCATGGGCAGGGGCAGCTGATGTTAATGTAGCCCAAGTGTGTCAGCAGCATGGGCAGGGGCAGCTGATGTTAATGTAGCCCAAGTGTGTCAGCAGCATGGGCAGGGGCAGCTGATGTTAATGTAGCCCACGTGTGTCAGCAGCATGGGCAGGGGCAGCTGATGTTAATGTAGCCCAAGTGTGTCAGCAGCATGGGCAGGGGCAGCTGATGTTAATGTAGCCCAAGTGTGTCAGCAGCATGGGCAGGGGCAGCTGATGTTAATGTAGCACAAGTGTGTCAGCAGCATGGGAGGGGCAGCTGATGTTAATGTAGCCCAAGTGTGTCAGCAGCGTGAGCGGGGCAGCTGATGTTAATGTAGCCCAAGTGTGTCAGCAGCATGGGAGGGGCAGCTGATGTTGATGTAGCCCACGTGTGTCAGCAGCGTGAGCGGGGCAGCTGATGTTAATGTAGCCCAAGTGTGTCAGCAGCATGGGAGGGGCAGCTGATGTTGATGTAGCCCACGTGTGTCAGCAGCGTGGGCAGGGCAGCTGATGTTAATGTGGCCCAAGTGTGTCAGCAGCATGAGCGGGGCAGCTGATGTTAATGTAGCCCACGTGTGTCAGCAGCGTGGGTGGGGCAGATGATGTTAATGTAGCCCAAGTGTGTCAGCAGCATGAGCGGGGCAGCTGATGTTAATGTAGCCCACGTGTGTCAGCAGCGTGGGTGGGGCAGATGATGTTAATGTAGCCCAAGTGTGTCAGCAGCATGAGCGGGGCAGCTGATGTTAATGTAGCCCACGTGTGTCAGCAGCGTGGGTGGGGCAGATGATGTTAATGTAGCCCAAGTGTGTCAGCAGCATGAGCGGGGCAGCTGATGTTAATGTAGCCCAAGTGTGTCAGCAGCATGAGCGGGGCAGCTGATGTTAATGTAGCCCACGTGTGTCAGCAGCGTGGGAGGGGCAGCTGATGTTAATGTGGCCCAAGTGTGTCAGCAGCATGGGAGGGGCAGCTGATGTTAATGTAGCCCAAGTGTGTCAGCAGCATGGGTGGGGCAGCTTATGTTAATGTAGCCCAAGTGTGTCAGCAGCATGGGCAGGGCAGCTGTTAATGTAGCCCAAGTGTGTCAGCAGCATGGGTGGGGCAGCTGATGTTAATGTAGCCCAAGCGTGTCAGCAGCGTGGGCAGGGCAGCTGATGTTAATGTTGGCCGGCAGTGGTTCTCCACCACAAGGGCCTCCTAGGCAATCATTGCACCTTGCACGTTTTGTTTCACGTGACAAACTTTGCTCAGTGGCTGTGTCGGGTGGTGGCGGGTTTAACGACACATTTATATATTTACGCGATCTCACCCAGGAAAAAAAAAACCGCCTCGATTATGTGAAATTTATATTTAATAACAATGTTAATGATTCTAGATTTGAAGTTTTCGTGACTGCAAGGATCCATACTTTTTGGGATTTTTCGGTAAAGTCACGTAGGTAAAAAATATAACATTAATTAAAAATTTAAACAAATAAATTAACGCTTAAGCGTTCGTGCTTTCGCTACGTTGTCCCCACCTGAAGAAGGACGCTTGTGTTGCGCCCGAAACGTCGTGATTTAATTTAGTTTTTTCATTTTTTTTACCTACGTGACTTTACCGAATAAACCAAAGAGAATGTTAATGATAATAAAATTCCATTCATAATTTCGCTCTTTTGATCAAGGATTTCAAAGCGCTGTACAGGACACAGCAGCAGCAGACACTCAGCAGGGACACAATTATATTACAACTTCATTTCAAGAATCAATTGACTCAATGAACTGAAAGTTTAACAAGTGAAAGCGCGTGTACAAAGATGCTCCAAAGACGCGTCTTTAAGAACAAAAAGTGTTCGCAGACTCATAGAGATCTGCGGATGCCTCGCGGTAGAGCGTCACCCACAGACCGAAGCATCGACCTGCGCATGCGGGAAGATCAACATCGCCAGATTTTAGGGGGGGGGGGGGGACCTTGTGGGTGACACGTGGGTTGCAGGCATGTCAAGGATGTTGGCTGGGGCAAGACGCCTTCACCGCTTTGTTGGGTTAACGAGAGGATTTCAAACTGGCGTTTTGTGTGAGGCTGGTAAGCCGGTGCAGGGAATCTAACGCAATAATAAGAAAACCTCCTATAGACGATACTATAATGTTTGTATTTAACCACCACCATAATTTATCCACCACCACCACCACCACCACCATTTAACCACCACCACCATTTATCCACCACCAACCACCATTTATCCACCACCACCACCATTTAACCACGACCACCATTTAACCACCACCATCACCACCATTTATCCACCACCACCACCACCACTACCATTTATCCACCACCACCATTTATCCACCACTACCATTTAACCACCACCACCACTGTGTTGGGGGCCCCCAAAACATAAAACAACTCCCACGAATCACTGTCTTTGTTTTGCCCTCTTGTAGGGAGAGCAGGAGGTGGTGGTGGTGGTTGCGGTGGTCGTGGTGGTGAGGGTGGTAGTGGCGGTGGTGGTGGCGGCGGTGGTGGTGATGGTGGTGGTGGTGAGGGTGGTGGTGGTTGCGGTGGTGGTTGCAGTGGTGGTGAGGGTGGTGGTGGCGGTGGTGGTGGCGGTGGTGGCGGTGGCAGCGGCGGTGGCGATGGTGGTGGTGGTGGTTGCGGTGGCGATGGTGGCGGTGGTGGTGGTGGTGAGGGTGGGGGTGGTGGTGGCGGTGGCGATGGCGGTGGCTGTGGCGGTGGTGGTGCCAGTGCCGGTGGTGGCGGTGGTGGTGGTGGTGGCTGTGGTGGTGGTTCTGGTTGTGGCGATGGTAACGGTGGTGGCATCGCCCGCATTCTCAGCTCCCCGCTCGCCTCACCGCGGATGCCGCCGTCCGTCTTGCGACTCGCGAGATCCGTCTCCCCGAGGCTCTTCAAGGCCACGTGTCCGTCTCGGCTGTCTCGCCGCGGGCTCCTCGCGAGCGATTCGGACCCTTCGCAGCGTCTGGAGGAAGATGGAGAGCGGCCGTGATATGTTAGCCGTGTGCCTGCTGCTGTTGCTGTTGTTGCTGTTGTTGTTGTTGTTTAGTTTTTGGGTTCTGTCACGGTTTGTTCGATGTGACGGATGGCGCTGGGTGAAGGCGAGTGATCGAACATCTTGGGTTGGTCGATTGGAAAACTACCACCACCACCAAAGCTAAAGACAAAGATCCCCCATATAGCCACCACCACCAAAGCTAAAGACAAAGATCCGCCATATAGCCACCACCACAGATAAAGACAAAGATCCCCCGTAAAGACACCACCACCACCACGGATAAAGACACAGATCCCCCATATAGCCACCACCACCAACACCACAGATAAAGACAAAGATCCCCCATATAGCCACCACCACCAACACCACAGATAAAGACAAAGATCCTCCATATAGCCATCACCACCACCACCACAGATAAAGACAAAGATCCCCCATATAGCCACCACCACCACCACAGATACAGACAAAGATCCCCCGTAAAAACACCACCACCACTGCCAGCAACAACTATTTCTCGTACGCGTCTATTTTTTCAGTCGAACTTCTTTCGCGCCGTACATCGCCAGCCGCGCTAAACAGAGGTGCAAGCGGGGGAGAGCACAACAAACTAAACACCACAACAACAACAACAGCGAGCACTTCGAAAGAAACGAGTTCGTCAATCTGGACGACGACGATTTAAAAGAGCACCACAGCTCCCGGTAGCTTCCTAACACCGGGTAAGGAAGAGAGCGTTCCAGACGGCCGCGCAACGACGCAGTGACCAGCACCGCCGCAGTTGTTCGACGGTTTAGCCAGCAGCAGCAGCAGCAGCTGATGCCGCTGCTGCTGCCAAGATGATGGTCGGAGTTGACGTGATGGTTTATAGCTCCTTGACGGGTCGTTTTTCGTTGTTATCTTGTTTGAGTTCGTTTCCTGTTTGTTTTGTTGATGATTGTTTTTTGTTGTTTGCCGTTGGTTGTTGTTTGTAGTTGTTGTTTATGTTATTTGTTGTTGTTGTTGTTTGTCTGTTGTTCTTTCGCGATGAAATGAAAGTTTTTTTTTATAACATGAAAGTTTTATGATCGATTTAAAGCTTTCGTGACTGCAGGGATTCATATTCTTGGTTCTTTCGGTAAAGTCACGTAGAAGGGAAATAATATAAAACAATAAAAATACGATATTAATATTATTTTATTATTTCCCTTCTACGTGACTTTACCGAAAGAACCAAGAATATAGTTTTATTATCGTTCTGATCATTACTAACACACAAGTCGTAGAATGTTCTTGAAGCCTGAACCGATGGGACTCGCTCGAGGGTTGATTTTGTGCGGTCAGAGTGAGACGCGATCGAGAGGTCACGATGGAGGAGGATTCTCATTCGCAAGGCCGAGTGACCTCTACTGAAACTACACTTCATTTCATATTCCATGCTCCTTTCGGTAAAGTCACGTAGCGAGAAAAAATTACAATAGAATAATAGAAATAAAGTTGAACAAGCGGTCGACCGCTTGTCTTGTGATCGAAAGGTCGTGATATTTTTGCTCACTTTATTTTTATTATTTTTATTATTTTAATGTTATTTTTTCTATCTACGTCACTTTACCGAAAGAACCATAGAATATGAATTCCTGCACTCACGAAAGTTTTAAGTCGAAACTTGATTTTATTTTACTCGGCTTAAGGGCCCCTTTGAGCTGCGACGTTGCGATCATTTTTTGTCAGACGCGACCTCCTGGCTTTAGCAAATGATCGCTCAACCGAAGTGGTGGCTTACCACCACCACCACCACCATCATTATCATCATTGTCGCGTGAAAATTGATAGCAGCATCCAAGTAACTCTGAACCTCGCGAAGTTGATTCTGCACGTGGAGGGGGGGGGGGGGGGGAACCGGAGGACCCGGAGAAAAATCCACGCGAACACGGGGAGAGAGAGACACGAAAACTCCAAATATACAGCAGCAGACGTCAGGGTCGGGATCGAACCCACGACCTCCTGTATACCAGGCGAGGTAGTTAACATCTCCTAGCCACCGTGGTGATGATGATGATGAGAGAGAGACACGCAAACTCCAAATATACAACAGCAGGCGTCAGGGTCGGGATCGAACCTACGACCTCCTGTATACCAGGCGAGGTAGTTAACATCTCCTAGCCACCGTGATGATGATGAGAGAGAGAGAGACACGCAAACTCCAAATATACAGCAGGCGTCAGGCTCGGGATGGAACCCACGACCTCCTGTGCACCAGGCGAGGTAGTTAACATCTCCTAGCCACCGTGATGATGATAATGAGAGAGAGAGACACGCAAACTCCAAATATACAGCAGGCGTCAGGCTCGGGATGGAACCCACGACCTCCTGTGCACCAGGCGAGGTAGTTAACATCTCCTAGCCACCGTGATGATGATAATGAGAGAGAGAGAGACGCAAACTCCAAATATACAGCAGCAGGTGTCAGGGTCGGGATGGAACCCACGACCTCCTGTATACCAGGCGAGGTAGTTAACATCTCCTAGCCACCGTGATGATGATGAGAGAGAGAAAGACACGCAAACTCCAAATATACAGCAGCAGGTGTCAGGGTCGGGATGGAACCCACGACCTCCTGTATACCAGGCGAGGTAGTTAACATCTCCTAGCCACCGTGATGATGAGATAGAGAGAGACACGCAAACTCCAAATATACAGCAGTAGGCGTCAGGGTCGGGATGGAACCCACGACCTCCTGTATATCAGGCGAGGTAGTTAACATCTCCTAGCCATCGCGACCCTCCTGGGTCACCCAACGTGATGGAGGCAGTCGACTCGAGTGGAGCAACAGAGCCAAGAGAAATCGGAGCACAAAGCTGTGGAATATTAATTGGAGCATCGCACACAAAGACAACGGTAATTTAAAACAAAGCGAGCGAGTGGAAATTCGTTGGCATGTGAGTGGGTGGGTGGGTGACTGGTTGGGCGAATAAGTGGGCGAGCGAGTTAGTTAGCTAGTGAGTCTTAAGTGAGCGGATGACTGAGTGGACAAGTGAGTGGCTGAAGTGAGTGAGCGGGCGATTGAGTGAGCGAGTGAGTTGGAAAAGTCGGTGCGTGGGTGGGGTTGAGTGAGTGAGCGAGCGAGCGGGCGAGTGAGCGGGCGAGTGAGCGGGTGAAGCCAGCGAGTGAGTGGGCGAGTGAGCGAGCGAGTGAGCGGGCGAGTGAGCGGGTGAGTGAGTGGGCGAGTGAGTGGGCGAGTGAGCGGGTGAAGCCAGCGAGTGAGTGGGCGAGCGAGCGAGCGGGCAAGCGAGAGAGTGAGCGTGGGAGCGTGCGGGTGAATTCAAACGCGATTGCAAGGCGACGTGGCGGACCCAGTGAGTGATGTCGACTGCCCCAGGGAAGAGCTCAACCTGTTGTCTGTCGCTAAACTCGGAGCGGTGCCTCCCGGTCGACGAGACGGACGAGTTCCACGCGCGCGCTCCTGTCGTCCTCTGTGCCTCCCGTGTGCCCGTGTCCGGGCCTGGGGGAGGAGGGGGGGTACGAGGGTTAACGAAACTTTGTGGAGCTAAAGGCGACCCAGCTTCGTTCCGTTCCGTCTCGTTTAGCGAGGTCGCGCGCTCCGCGAGGATTAAGGAGAGGGAATTTTGCATTCCGTGTGGCTTCGTCTTCTGAGCGTCGTGGGGGATTTGTCGAGAGCGTTAAGAACCGTGGGTGCCTGTGCTCACTCGCTCTCTCAGCCGGGCGCTGGGACACAAAGGTATCCCTTGTAGCCTGCGCAGCAAATTCTAGATTTGAAGCTTTCGTGACTGCAATGATTCATATTCTTAGGTTTTTTTCGGTAAAGTCACGTAGGTAAAAAAATTTAATTAATAAAAGTTAAATAAAAATAAAATAAAAATCACGACGTTTCGGAGGCAACACAAGCTTCCGTCTTCAGGTGGAACCGTCACAGCACGATAGCTGTATCAAGTGAGAGAAATGAAAATTAATAAAAGTAAAATAAAAATAAAATAAAAATCACGACGTTTCGGAGGCAACACAAGCTTCCGTCTTCAGGTGGAACCGTCACAGCACGGAAGCTTGTGTTGCCTCCGAAACGTCGTGAATTTTATTTTATTTTTATTTTACTTTTATTAATTTTAATTTTTTTACCTACGTGACTTTACCGAAAAAACCTAAGAATGTGCGCAGCGAATGTTGGGGGGCAGAAGTTCCGTTCGCGAGAAGCAGCAGCAGCAGCCACCTACGAAGGCCGCCGGTACAAAGGCACACGAGGGGGGCCTCGGCCGCGCCTTCTGCTGTCTCCCACAGCGGCGATGCTATACGCGCAGCGCCATGTACTCATTCGAGGCTGAGTAGACCTAGGGGAGGTCCCGGGGATCATGATTGAGATGATCGTCGCCGGTGTCTGTGTGTGTGTCTATGCGTCTGTGCGTGTGTGTCTGTGTGACTGTGTGACTGTGCGTGTGTGACTGTGTGTGTTGTGTCTGTGTGTGTCTGTGTGTCTGTGCGTGTGTGTCTGCGTGACTGTGCGTGTGTGTCTGTGTGTCTGTGCGTGTGTGTCTGTGTGTCTGTGCGTGTGTGTCTGTGTGACTGTGCGTGTGTGTCTGTGCGTGTGTGTCTGGGTGTCTGTGTGTGTGTGTCTGTGTGACTGTGCGTGTGTGTCTGTGTGTTGCGGGGAGCGGTGGTGTAGCGGTTAGCGCTACGCTGCGCTACGAACCCGGCGACCCTGGTTCGATTCCCACTCACGGCCAACACCGGTGACGATGATCTGAACCGGTACCTGGGCCTCCCCTAGGTCGACTCAGCCTCAAATGAGTTACCTGGTGCGGTGTGTAAACATCGCCACTGGGGAGACAAAGGCGGCCGGGCGTGGTGCTGGCCACCCACCCCTCGTGTGCCGTGCCGGCCTTCATAGGTGCTCGCTAACAGCACTTTCCCCAAACAGTCTGTCAAGGCTACACGGGGGATCTTTGTCTTTTGCATGCGTGCGTGCGCGTGTGTGGTCACGGTGATTATTTCTTCTCTTTGGGGGTGATTAGCTCACAAGCGCCGCTCCATCCAGTCGCGACTTAGCGCTGCGGCTTAAGGGCTTGAGCGGTGCGCGGTCACGTGGGGGGTGAGCGGTGCGTGGTCACGTGGGGGTGAGCGGTGCGTGGTCACGTGGGGGGCGAGCGGTGCGTGGTCACGTGGAGGGCGAGCGGTGCGTGGTCACGTGGGGGGCGAGCGGTGCGTGGTCACGTGGAGGGCGAGCGGTGCGTGGTCACGTGGGGGGCGAGTGGTGCGTGGTCACGTGGGGGGTGAGCGGTGCGTGGTCACGTGGGGGGCGAGTGGTGCGTGGTCACGTGGGGGGCGAGCGGTGCGTGGTCACGTGGGGGGCGAGCGGTGCGTGGTCACGTGGGGGTGAGCGGTGCGTGGTCACGTGGGGGGCGAGCGGTGCGTGGTCACGTGGGGGGCGAGCGGTGCGTGGTCACGTGGGGGGCGAGCGGTGCGTGGTCACGTGGAGGGCGAGCGGTGCGTGGTCACGTGGGGGGCGAGTGGTGCGTGGTCACGTGGGGGGCGAGCGGTGCGTGGTCACGTGGGGGGCGAGCGGTGCGTGGTCACGTGGGGGGCGAGCGAGGGATTTGGAGTCGTCCCGCGCCGGGCGCTGAAGCCGCGTGAGCATCTCGAGAGGGGCCTCACGTGACCCCGCAGCAGTGTACGGAACGGCGTCGCCGCCCTACCCGATACCCGGCCGGGTACGGGTACGGTACGGGTACCCGATTGCGACCTCTGGGATGAAGCCATGTTGCAGGCGCGGGTGGGTTGATTCTAGGAACTTGAATTGTGAGAAGAGTCAAGACGTTGGGAAATGAGTGACAAACGGTGACTCACCAGTGACTCACGGCCTACCCGTACCCGGCCGCACCAGGGTCGCAAACGGGTACCCGTACCCGTACCTGGCCGGGTACGGGTAGCCGGGTATCGGATAGGGTACGGGTATCGGGTACCCGGTTGCGAACTTTGCCCTCTGGGAGTGGGAGATGCCCTGTCTGGGGGTTGCGAGGCATGGGCAGATTTCTTTTTTGGAAGCTAAATCATCGCAACCGCAAAACAAAGTAAGTCACAACTTGCTTTGTTTAATCAAACCCGATGTAGGTATTAACATTCTACATTTTGTTAACGTTTGAAAACCCAAGGTTTGCAAGGCTGCAGTAAAAAAGTCTAAGAACCACTGGTGTAGTGTATAGTGTAGTGTAATGTAGTGTATAGTGTAGTGCATTATATTGTATAGTAGTATAGTGTATAGTATCGTGTAAAGTGTAGTGTATAGTGTAGTGTGTAATAGAGTGTATAGTGTAGTGTATTGCAGTGTATAGTAGTGTAGTGTATGGTGTAGTGTGTAATGTAGTGTATATTGTAGTGTATAGTGTAGTGTGTAATGTAGTGTATAGTGTTGTGTATTGTAGTGTATAGTGTAGTGTATGATAGTGTAGTGTATAGTGTAGTGTTTCGTGTAGTGTGTAATGTAGTGTATAGTGTAGTGTATTGTAGTGTATAGTAGTGTAGTGTATGGTGTAGTGTATAGTGTATTGTGTAATGTAGTGTATTGAAGTGTATAGTAGTGTAGTGTATGGTGTCGTGTATAGTGTAGCGTATAGTGTAGTGTATAGTGTAGTGTTTAATGTAATATATAGTGTAGTGTATAGTGTCGAGTATATTGTAGTGTAAAGTGTATTGTATAGCAGTGTAGGAGTGTAATGTAAAGTTGTTTATTGTGTAGTGTATATTAGTGTCGTGTATAGTAGTGTAGTGTGAAATGTAGTGTATAGTAGTGTCGTGTATAGTGTAGTGTATATTGTAGTGTGTAATGTAGTGTATAGGAGTGTAGTGTAAAGTAGTGTATTGTGTAGTGTATATTAGTGTAGTGTATCGTAGTGTAGTGTATAGTGTAGTGTATTGTATTGCAGTGTATAGTAGTGTAGTGTATGGTGTGGTGTATAGTGTAGTGTAAAGTTTAGTGTATAGTGTAGTGTATGATGTAGTGTATAGTGTAGTGTAAAGTGGCATGTATAGTGTAAAGTGTAGTGTATAGTGTAGTATGTAATGTAGTGTATAGTGTAGTGTAAAGTGTAGTGTATAGTGTAGTGTATAGTGTAGTGTATTGTGTAGTGTAAAGTGTAGTGTATAGTGGTGTGTATTTGACTGTAGTGTAAAGTATTGTGTAGTGTATATTAGTGTACTGTATAGTAGTGTAGTGTCAAGTGTAGTGTATAGTAGTGTAGTGTATGGTGTGGTGTATATTGTAGTGTAAATTTGAATATATAGTGTAGTGTGTAATGTAGTGTATAGTGTAGTGTATTGTAGTGTAAAGTAGTGTAGTGTATGGTGTATTGTATAGGGTAGTGTAAAGTGGCGTGTATAGTGTATAGTCTAGTGTATAGCAGTGTAGTGTGTAATGTAGTGTATAGTAGTGTAGTCTATAGTGCAGTGTATAGTGTATAGTGTAGTTTATTGTATTTCAGTGTATAGTAGTGTAGTGTATGGTGTGGTGTATAGTGTAGTGTAAAGTTTAGTGTATAGTGTAGTGTGTAATGTAGTGTATAGTGTAGTATGTAATGTAGTGCATAGTGTAGTGTAAAGTGTAGTGTATAGTGTGTAATGTAGTGTATAGTGTAGTGTATAGTAGTGTAGTGTGTAATGTAGTGTATAGTGTAGTGTAAAGTGTAAAGTGTAGTGTATAGTGTAGTGTATAGTGTCGTGTAAAGTGTAGTGTATAGCAGTATAGTGTAGTGTACAGTGTAGTGTATCGTGGTGTATAGTGTAGTATGTAATGTATAGTGTAGTGTAAAGTGTAATGTATAGTGTAGTGTATAGTGTAGTGTGTAATGTAGTGTATAGTGTAGTATGTAATGTAGTGCATAGTGTAGTGTAAAGTGTAGTGTATAGTGTATAATGTAGTGTATAGTGTAGTGTTTAGTAGTGTAGTGTAAAGTGTAGTGTATAGTGTAGTGTATAGTAGTGTAGTGTAAAGTGTAGTGTATAGTGTAGTGTATAGTGTAGTGTATAGTGTAGTGTATAGTGTAGTGTATAGTAGTGTAGTGTAAAGTGTAGTGTATAATGTAGTGTATAGTGTAGTGTATAGTGTAGTGTATAGTGTAGTGTGTAATGTAGTGTATAGTGTAGTATGTAATGTAGTGCATAGTGTAGTGTAAAGTGTAGTGTATAGTGTGTAATGTAGTGTATAGTGTAGTGTATAGTAGTGTAGTGTAAAGTGTAGTGTAAAGTGTAGTGTAAAGTGTAGTGTAAAGTGTAGTGTATAGTGTAGTGTATAGTGTAGTATGTAATGTATAGTGTAGTGTATAGTAGTGTAGTGTGCAATGTAGTGTATAGTATAGTATGTAATGTAGTGCATAGTGTAGTGTATAGTGTAGTGTGTAGTGTGCAATGTAGTGTATAGTGTAGTGTGTAATGTAGTGTATAGTGTAGTATGTAATGTAGTGCATAGTGTAGTGTAAAGTGTAGTGTATA